TTCTGCTGGCAAGAGCCGCACTCGCTGTGCCCTGCCCTCTGCCGGGTGCTCTACATCCACGACTGCGTCCAGTGCTTGCGACAATTCTGTAGGGTATCGATTCTGACGAAACTGAAGTCAATGAAGCTAATTTTCTCACCCTAACTTAAGATAGTAAGTGGTATAAAGAGGAACCATGGCCGACTCTGTCTAGTCCCAAAGCTCATGTTCTTTCACCATGTCTTAATGGAACCGTAGCACGAGGTCATCATGGACATCCTTGCTGCCACCTTGTCTGGTCCACCTTCCGTGGCTGGTAAGTCGTGTCTACAAAGGCTAATACACCTTTGCTGCTAACCAGTGCCTACAGGAGAAAGGCAAAATCCTCAGACAACCAATTGACTCTATTATTATTCTAGCTAGCTCCTTTATGCAGAGTAGTGGAGTGCATTTAAGAAAAGCCCACCACAGAAAGGTAAATTCTGCTTAAATATAAATGTATTCTTTCTTAATGAAAAGACAGGGCTATACACATTTTTATCTCTAGCAAAGAAATGGGGCAATGTTACAATATTTTGGGGAACATGATTCATCATTTTCATGAGTAAAATTATTATTTATTTTTTTTTTTTTTTTGAGACAGAGTCTCACTTTGTTGCCCGGGCTAGAGTGAGTGCCGTGGCGTCAGCCTAGCTCACAGCAACCTCAGACTCCTAGGCTCAAACAATCCTACTGCCTCAGCCTCCCAAGTAGCTGGGACTACAGGCATGCGCCACCATGCCTGGCTAATTTTTTTTCTATATATTTTTAGCTGTCCAATTAATTTCTTTCTATTTTTGGTAGAGACGGGGTCTCGCTCTTGCTCAGGCTGGTCTCGAACTCCTGAGCTCAAACAATCCGCCCACCTCGGCCTCCCAGAGAGCTAGGATTACAGGCGTGAGCCACCGTGCCCGGCCAGTAAAATTATTTTGTATAAACTGATGAAAAAACTGAGATTCTAAGAAACTTTTGCCATCATTTGGCTATAAGAAGGGAATATGATCCAATTGTTCTTTACTTTCATCTGTCGGCTTTTCTACCTCAGCCTGCCCTCCAGTGGGGTGTCCCCCAGGGTGGTGGAATGTCACCAGGGTGGTGGAATATCCCCAGAGTGGTGTCCACACCCCTTTTTTCTCCCCCGTACGCGTCGTTTCTAGGGAACCTCATCTAAGCCCATGCTTCAAACACCAGATGTAAGACATCTCCTATACACCCGTCTCTAGCCCAACCCCTAGACCCCATGCCCAGACACCTTCCGTGAATGTCCCACAGATGCCTCACACTCACATCTGTGTAAAGTGAAAGTCATCATCCCCTGTCCGGGCCTGGCCTGCCTACCTCCCTCTCTTGATTACCCAAGTGAAAAAGCTCAAGGCTCTTTCCGCCCTCGCACCTGTCCTCCAATGGACCCCAGAGTCTAGTCCACTTCCCCTCCCAGAGCTCTCAAGGTGGCCTTCATTGCGCTCCCTGGTCAAGGCCCTCTCCATCACTCGACTGGACTGGACAGCAATGGCTCACTGGAACCCTTGCTGCCATTGACATGCCATGCACACTGAGGCCTCCAGGTCCCACGTTTACTGGGTTTGGTGAGCACTTAATCAAAGACAGAAGGTGTGTTCTGGAACATGAGAGAGGCTGGAGAGGAAAGCAGGGGCCTCACAGCATACTTTAAAGCATTTGAGTTACTTCCTTAGCTCAGAATTATTTTTGCCTATGAAGGAAAAAGACAGCTCTGCTTATTATTCCAAAGAAAGTACCACAGGTTCTGAAGGAGCATCCTCAAAGCAAGTCCCAGGAAAGTCACAGCCAACAGTACCATCACCGGAATCAGTTTCAAATTTCTAAGGTGATGGTTTTAAAGGTGAAACCACTCAAAGGGGACAAGCAGGTGCGAAACCACATCATGCATGAAATGCCTGTGAAATGCGCTAAGTTCTAGCTGTCCCCTGCGTGCCCTAACGCTGCCGGGCCTGCAGCCTGCACGCCACAGTCCTTCCCTGCATGTGGGCACATGCGACCCAAGAGCCTGAGCACCGCTGACGCTTCTACACTGCACAGAGAGCGGCCGTACCGCCTCTGTTTCACAACCTGTCACCCTGAAGAGGAAAGGCAGGGGGAAGTCAATCTTACAAGCACCCCGTGTGTCTGGCACTGTGTTGCACACATCTCCTGGGCCAGCTCACTCTGTCATTAGTCCCACCTGTGAGGTGGCCATTATTTGCCCATTTCACAGACGAGGAAATGGAAATGGAAGGAAATGGAAGCCTAGAGCAGTGGGCACAGGTGGAGGGCACAGGTGACAGTGATGAGGCCGCGTGTGGGTCCCAGCTGGACAACTGCAGGGCTTGTATTCTTCCCACTAGGGTGTGCTACCGCTTGGCTTCTGGGTTTTTTGTCTTCACTTGTTCATGCCTTTTTAGGAAACAGAAACCCGCCTCAGACCTTTATTTCAGGCAGCGAGAAGAAACAGTGAGTGTGGAGAGCAAGAGGACCCCGAGCCAGTCCCCTGCCCTGGGCAGCCGATGCTCACGAGAGCACATGTGGACCTGGCCTTCCCTGCAGTTTCGCAGCCTGCACACCAGCGCTTGCGACGACACTTCAGTGTGCCTGAGTGGCTGTTCTGACTCCTTTGCAGGCAGGCCCGTGTCAGTCTGCCACGCTACTCCCATGAGGCTCCACTCACCTAGACCACCAGAGTCAGCTGGGGACGTGAGTGAGCTGCGATACAGCAAGAGAAGCACAGGGTTTGGTACAGAGCTCTTGTACAGAGCTCAGCTCAGCTGCTCTACCGGCTCCCTGGCCTTGGGTGGGTGGGGCTTTGCAGTTTTTGTGCCTCATCTTCTTTAACTGTATAGCATGACAATTCCTACTTCACTCGATTGTTATGAAGATTAAACAAGACAGAGCAACACAAAAGGCTTGACACACAGAAGACATTCACAAGTATAAGTAGTAATATTAATACTAACTTAACACTAGAGTATTCTGCTAGTTACTGCTCATGATCCTGCTTTACCATTTAAAACAACCTTAAACTTTCATGTTGTATTTGAAATCATTCATCCATTCAACTAATGGTAATTCCCAAACACTGTTCTAGGCTCTGGGAATACGGCAGTGAAAGCAAGACAAGATTCTGCTCTCGAGCCGGGTGCAGTGGCTCACGCCTGTAATCCTGTAACTCTGGGAGGCCGAGGCGGGAGGATCGCTTCAGCTCAAGAGTTTGAGACTAGCCTGAGCAAGAGTGAGACCCCATCTCTACTAAAAATAGAAAACCCAGCCGGGCACGTGGGGCACCTGCAGTCCCAGCTACTTGGGAGGCTGACGCAGGAGGATCGCTCGAGCCCAGGAGTTCAAGGTTGCAGTGAACTATGATGACGCCACAGCACTCTAGCCAGGTTGACAGAGTGAGACTCTGTCTCAAAAAAAAAAAAAAAGATTCTGCTCTTACGGAGCTTGTGATCTAGTGCAGGGCAAGGGAATAAAGCAGGATAATGGGACAGAATGGCTGGGAGCCACCTCAGGTGGGATGGCCAGGGAAGGCCTCTCTGAGGACATCACATCTGAGACCTGCAAGACCTGACAGCAGGGAGAGAAAGCACTTTCCCGGTGCAGTCATCAGCACCACAGACGCCTCAGTCAGAGGCTCAGGGCTGGGAAAAGACAGGATCCCATTCTCACTCTGCAGAGCTGCGGCCTCAGGCTTCGCCGGTTATCTTCTGGAGTGGCAGTGCTCAACCCCAGTCCCCGGGCCAGTACCAGTCTGTGGCCTACTAGGAACCAGGCTGCACTGCTCCACCTCCTGGCAGATCAGCAGTGGCATTAGATTCTCATAGGAGTACGAACCCTACCGTAAACTGCGCATGCGAGGGATCTCGGTTGCGGCTCCCTATGACAATCTGATGCCTGATGATCTGAGGTGGAGCTGAGGCGGTGATGCTAGTGCTGGGGAGTGGCTGCAAACACAGATTATCGTTAGCAGAGAGGTTGGACTGCACAATAAATTCAATGCGCTTGAATCACCCCGAAACATCCCCGCCATCTGTGGAAAAATTGTCTTCCAGCTCCACCACTGATTAGGGGGTTTAGGCAAGATCCTTTCTTCTTTTTTTTGCCAGTGTTAAAAGGATATGGAATCTGACTTTACCCTGAGCGAGTGAGCGAGCAAATAAATAGATAAACAAACAAATAAATAAAATAAGATGGGAGTGCCCCACCACCTCTTGGTGGGATTATTAAGAAATCATGGAGAAGAGGGGTACCAAAAATTTCGGTCAACTGTCAACTGCTGCACAAATTAAGATGCTGTCATTTGCCAGGTACGGCCACTGGAAAGCATGCTGTGTGTGAGCCATGCTCTCCACCCTTTAGGTAGAGGCCAATGTTCCACCAGGGCAGCTCTAGGAAACATCTGCCCGAGCACAGGAGTGTGCTCCATCTGGCTCCCACCACACCGATGTCCGGGTGATCTGTACACACACACTACTGGACACGAGCCGCAGGAGCCCGTGCCAAATCTATCAGTTTCCTTTTGAAACACACCCAGAGATGATTAACTATAGCAGTCAGCAACTAGTGGACAGGTCACCAAAAGGCAGCGATATTATTTGCTTCTGCAGTCCTGACTTGCCCTTTCTTCACATTACCATAACACTAGCAATTCAAACAATTAAAAAGCACCATAGTGGCAATTATAAAAGACCCATTTAGTCTAGGAGACTATTGTACTGCTGCTGAAAAGACATCTATTATTAGTAAAATTATTCCGAGACAGTTTCTTTAATTATGCTACCTTAAATTTAAAACATGTGAAAAGCATACTACAAATTAGGAAATCAAGTAGAAAAGTGTATATAAAATATATATTTATAATTTTAAAAACTCAGTATAAAAATCAAGAACATGTAGGATGACCACCTATTCAAGGAAATGATGTTACAAAAACCAGTTAGAAATAAATGATGAGGCAGAAATAGCATTACCATTTGTATTTCTTCTGGGGATAATTCATCTTCACCTTTGCCCTCTCCCCAGCTTCCCAATTCAGGTTGTGCTTCGGCTGAAATCTTTTCTGGTGAAAAAAATATTGAAAATAGATAGAAGACCAAATATTCATTTCAGAATAGGTTGGCTTAGGATGTAGGCACATTAAAAACATGAGATGGAACAGAATCTTACAGCTGTCTGTATTTGATTATCCGTTGGCTAATATTCAGGCATTGCAGGTGTGATTCTTCCACAATGTTTAGGCCTTAAATTGCCTATATCTATGCACATGTGTGTGCATGTATGTGATGGGGAGCGGGACCTATGCACAGTTTCAACATTGCTCTGATGTCAGCAATGGCCGCAAACTAAATGGACATTCTTCAGAACCAGTTTAAAGTGTTTTACTTCAAGACACATTTATGCTTACACTCCTCCCTCTACTTTTAGAGACTGAGGAAACATGAATATTTTCATTGTAAAAAAATACATATATATGAATATAAATGAATAAATACAGGAAGTGATACATCATTCCCCAATCCTATTCCTCTATCAGAAGTTAACTGCTCTGATGTAGCTTCACAGACTTTATTTGAGCATATTCACATGCAAAGATGTGCCAGTCCCTGTTCCTGAAACTCAGAAACAGTACATAGGTTTGTGTGTACAGTGGCTTGTTTTTTGCAAAGACATCAGTGGTAACATATTGTTCTAAAATGTGTTCTATATGATTTATCAGTATATCTTGGAGATCATTCTAGGTCAGTCCATATAGACCTAACTCATTCTTTTAAATTGCTGCATAATATTCCATTGTAAGGATACACTATTCTTTTGCTGTTGTTGGGTAATAATGTTGTTTACTCCCAGGATGAAAGACAACAGAACACTCTCATATGAACAGTCCTGTTTTGCTTCTAATGCCCCTTGACCAATCTGGAAAAATGTGTCTAACCAGCCTGGAGTCCAGTTACTGGACATATGAGGTCCCTAAAGAGTTTGGGATGGACACACAGACCCCTAATATTCGTTGAGGGGTTTTTATGGTGCCCGGCTTTGAGGATATACTATTCTTCATGTAACCGTAACTCCACTGATAATCCTCCAGTCATTGCAGATTTTCACTAGCACGGTGGTGCTGTGCCCCAGTCCGTGCTTTGTGTGCATGCTGGAGCACTTCTCTAGGACAGGCGCCTCAGCATGGAACTGCTGAGGGGGAGTGTACAAACATTTTAATCTCGAGAACTTTTTGAGCATGATCACATAAACGCGTGATGGTAACAATGCCAGAGGCTCCTAGAAAGACTGCTGCCACTCGGGACGACGTGAGAGAGATCTGTACGTTCATGAATGGGGTAGGGGTGGGAGCAGAGGGGAGAGGGAGGGCAGGGATTCATCCATAGGTCACTCTGTGTCTGCCTGTCTTAGCCATGCCTCTGGGCTTATCAGTGGGTTGCCAAGTACTCAAAGACAAATATTGCCTCTTTTTCCTTTCTTCCTCAAGCTCAGGAAATTTCCCATAGTTGATCTTAGCCCCATGAGATGGGGACAAGTCCAGGGTTTTTTAATAGGGGAAAAGAATATAATGATAGTAACAATTTAGGGAAAGCAGATTAAGCAGGACATGTATGCAAGTTATAATCATTATTGGGACTATGTCTTCACAAAGAAAAAAATCTCTGTGTCATCCATGACTTAGTGCAGGCTTTTAAAAAAAATGGCTGTTTTGGCCAGAACTGTCATTATGGAAAAACACGTTTATAAAAGACTGGCGGAAAGCATCTTTAGATTGGGTGTTTTTCTGAGAAGATGTTCTTCGGGCAGGAACACTGGTACTTTTCATCCACCTGCTACCCCACCCCAAGAGCTCACTGTCTCCAACTTGTCCTCACTATGGTACTCACTACAAGCTTTAACTGTTGTTGATTTTACCAAGGGTAAAAACACCAAAATTAGAAACACAGAAACCTTATTCATACCTGAACCAAGCATAGATTAACTCTGAGTTAGAGTGAGAAAGTTCTGTTAGCAGAACTCATAGTCTACAACATGCTTAAGTCTGTGGCCATCTGAAGCCTTCTTGACTTGCTGTTCTCAGAATCTGCTAGAAGCACAGCGCTCACCACTCCAGACTGCCAGTGCCCCGGTGCCAACATAGCCAAGTCCAGACTCCTTGGTCAGGCATTCAAGGACTTCTGTGCCCTGGCCCCGACTCACCTTTCCAACCTTATGCCCTACTCCTTCTCCTCCCCTGTCCTGTGCCACCAAGCCCCAGGTGCCCTCTCCCTGACTCCATCCCAATCTCCCTGCGTTCTGGCCTCTGGGCGCTGTCTGTGTTGCTCCCTCTGTCTAGAGCAGACTCCCTTCTCAGTGCTGCCTCCCTTGAAGTCGCCCTGACACTCTGCCTAAACTCTGAACTCTGTCCTATCACCTCTGCCCCCCACTTAGGACACTACTTACTTTCTGCCGGGGGCTGGCATCTTATCCTTCCTGTCAACTGTGAGCTCCCTAAGTGCAGGAACCACGAGTCACTTGAGAAAAAAGATGGTAAGGATTCACAGACAACCACACCCCTCCTAGTGCTAGGGGAAATCGACATCAGGAAACAAATTACAAATGGGTATGAGAAGATCTCATCCTGACTGGGCAGGAATGCTGAAGAAAAAGACCTAAACATCAGATATGGACAGGAGGTCAGCTGTGACCACAGAGGTGCTTAACGTTGCTAACTAAATGAAAAAATAACAAACGTAGTGCCTTTTAAAAATAGGAGTATGACAGGCAAGACGCTGTTCTCTGCCTGGAACTAAACCACCTCATCTTATACCAAAATATATTTTGTCTAAGATACATTGCAAGTTTCGAAAGAAAAATGAAAAAACTGAAACGCAAAGATAAATAAAGAACACTGTCCATATAGCCCAGGTTAAAAACATCTTTTTGGTAACTGTAGATGAACTTAGAAAAACGTCCATACAGGATGAAATCATCTTCCAACTAGCACAAAGGAAAGGGCAGATACACAGCATGTTAAAGAGATTTACCTGCCAGCGTCAAGGCTGGGATGGAGAGGGAACGTCAAAGGCCCTAGAAAGCAGGGCAGCACCATGGAAGCCAGTGCAGCCTCTGCCCTGGGCTGGCCCTGGCCTGCATCTCCCTTCCTATACCTTCTTCTCAGGGGATGTATCCAGGCTCACGGCTCTGAACTGCCTATTTCCAGCCCTGAGTTCTTCCCGTTCACTCCAACATTGACTCACTGTTTCCACCTGCATGTCAAACAGGCATCTCAGATCTAACCCGTGTGAATCAGAACTGCAATTCCATTCCCTGCCCACTCCTCCCAGCTTGCTGCCAAACCTCCAGCCGTCCTTGGCTCAGGCAGCGATGCCACCTTCCATCCAGTTGCTCCAGCCCCAAACCTACCACTGTCCTTGCTCACTCTCTGTCCCACACGTCTCCCTGCCTACTGCTAGCTCATCTCAGGCTCCAGAGCACAAGCTGGGTTGCACACCTCCACCTCCATCCAGGCCCCGCCTCCCTCACTGCAGACACCATCGCCCCGTGGCTGGGCCATGGGGCAGCTGACATGTCTAGCTGCCTCCATCCCAACTCCTCACATCAGTCACAGGGATTTAAAATGTGAACCAGACCGAGTCTCTCTCCAGCTGAAAAACCTCCAGGGGCTTCTCACTGCACTTAGAATCAAAGCCAGACCCTATGCTCCCCGGTAGGACCAAGCCTCTCCCTGCCTGCTGTCTTTTCTCATCCGCCTTTCCTGCGCCCTGCCCCAACCCTTCCTCCTGAGTGTGTGTGCACAAGTGTCTGTGTGTACGTACATGTGCTTAAATACGCCAAGCTCATTTCTCCCTCCTATGGCTTTTCACTGCCTGGAGAGCTTTCATCTGTGTGAGGCTCTGATTTCTCCACATCTTCGCTAAGGCTTGGTGTCATTGGCCCTCTTCATTCTAGCCACCCTCGGGGTGTGAGCTGGTGTTTCACTGTGGTTGTGCTTTGTAATTTCTTGATGACTAATGATGTTGAACATCTTTTCACATGCTTATTGATCATTTGTATATCTTCCCTGGAGAAAATTTTACTTAGATCCTTTGTCCATTTGTTAATTGGTTTGTCCTTTTATTATTGAGTTATAAGTTTTTTCTATATTCTGGATACAAGTCCCTTATTAGATGATTTGTAAATATATTCTCCCATTCTGTGGACTGTCTTTTCACTTTCTTCATGGTGTCCTTTGACCCCACGACTACCGTTTATCCTCCCCACATCCTTGAAGGTAGGTATTATCACCCCCAGTTTTAAAATGGGAAACCAGGTGCTCCAAAGTGCCAGGAAGAGCTGGGGGTGGGATCCAGACTGCCTCCAAAGAGGCCCCTTCACTATCCCACCTGTCTCCGCAGGCTGGGAAGTGTAACCCGAGTGCTCTCCTTCAGTGCTGGGTGGGCTACTTTAGTCAGGAGATGACCTTGTGATTATAAAGTATCTAACTAATGACTTTAAGGTAAAAACGTAAGCCGTGAAGAACAACGTTCCTTCACTCTGACCATTTGTTTTCTACCATCCAGAGGCAACACGTTTCTCTAACATCAGGCAATACTTCCGCAGCAGCAAAAAGCAATCAGTGTTCCACACAGGGTCTCCACTCGGTCACTTGTTTTTTCAGCGAATACTGACTGAATGCCTCCTATGTGCCAGGCATTGTTCTGGGTACCAGTGTTATGGTAGTAAACAAAATACAGAAATTCCTGTCCTCACGGAACTTACGTTTGAATAGGAGAGACAGATAATAAAGATTAATTAATAAAAAATTTATAAAAATTAATAAAACACATAGAAGGTTAGTGACAAGTGCCAGGGAGAAAGAGAAAGTAGGCAGACAGGAAGTATCAGGAAGGCTCGGTCCTTTTTTTTCTTCTTTCCAGCTACCTTCACTCCTCGGGGATCTCAGCCTGTCTCAAGGGTTCAGTGCTACCTACAGACCTGTCTCCTGACCTCTTGACTCCCCTGTGAATCCAACTCCCTGCTCAGCATCTCTGCCGGGCATCTCAACATTCACGGCCCCCACACCGAGCTCTCAACCCACCTAGTCCCCAGCCTGCCCCACAGCCTTCCGCGTCTCAGCAAGGGCAGCTCCTTCCTTCCAGCTCCCAGAGACACAGCAGCCCTCCCTGACTCCTCTCCTTCTCAGGGAGCAAATTCGGTAGCTCTGCTTTCAAATGCTGTCTAGCACTCTACCACTCCCCGCACCTCTTCTACCATGCTTGGTGTGGTCCACCATTACGTTATTTTTGGGTGATGCTATTTCTCTCTGTGTTCCCCTAACGATCTATCTCAACAGAGCAACCTGAGGGATCCTGCTAACACGTGGTCAGGTGACAGTGCTCTGTGCACACCTGCCCATGGTTTCCCATCTCATGCAAAGGAAAAGTCACAGTCCTTCTGTGGCCTGGAGGGTCCCCAGGACCTCATGCCTGGTGCTTCCCAGCCCTGTGGCCTTCTGCCCACCCTACTCTCCAGCCTCAAGGCTGCTCCCGCCTGCAGCCTCTGCACTGCTTGTTCTCCGTCTGGAACACTCTTCCCCAGGTGGCCACATGGCTCATACCCTCACTTCCCTCAGGTCTTTACTAAAATATCTAGGTTACTACCTCTGTTACAGGCCAAAGTTCTCATATTACTGTGAAACTCTTTCACAGCCTGTAGCATAACTGCATAGCCACCTGTAGAATCATTTAACGCGTCCCCCCAGTGGACTGTAAGCAGAGGTGTCTATTTTCTGCTTACTACTGTGTCCCTGGCACCTGGCACAGTGGTATTCAGTGTGGGCGTGGGGCCCAAGCCAGGGCAGGCTGGCTAAAATATCTTCACGTGCAATTTACTCTCAGCTGGGCCCAAGAATCTGTACTGGCTTCTCCCCACTCTTATCAGCCCTAATACTGTTTCTTGAATGAATGAATGGATGTGTGTGCTGTGTCTGGCATGAGGGAATTTAGTTACAATACCCTGACATACTGTCTTCTGAGAAACAGCGCCCATTACTTTGTTATGGGCCATGTCGTATCCGTGATGACAGGAAGCACATAAACCCAGACTTGCATTTTCTCCCATTGGCTTGACTGGCTGTGGAAGGCCACTAAGATGGCACGCCGCACCCTGAAGCAGGCCTGGTGGCTCCACACGGGGGCAGTGCTGACACCACAGTGCCCAGCGCCAGCAGGCCCTTTCTTCTGGACGATGCCAGTTCCCAGGTGCCTGGAGAATCTTCCCATCCTGCCTCTGCAGCAGTCATTAAGCTCTGTGACAGAAAAAAAGGCTGCCACCTCCTTACACTTCCTTTGCTTTATGCAAATACAAACACTCCAACATATCTGGAACCACGTTCCTTTTTCCCTATGTTGTATTCTTGCAAACATGTCATAAGGAAGAAATTTAAGACAATATTTTTATTTTAATTCAAACCTGGATATTCCTCAGTGGTAGGTTTTTCTTCAGAGTCTTTTGAAGGATTCTGTGACACTTTCTCAGAAGATGTGGATTCTCTTGATTTTGTATTTGGTTCTGGTTCCAGCTTAGATCTAGAAATGAATAATCAGCAGTCAACTACTTTACTGCCATAACATGGATTCCTTTTTGACAACAGAAGGGAATCAAATGTGACCCTGCACTTTGCTCTGTGACTCTCTACAGGGGAGCAGAGTTGCTGCCTCTGGGCCCACGGGCCACCTGGACATACCTCCACCGGGGCACTTATTACAAGGTGCTGGCATTGCTGTCTGCAGGGTAGAGACTGTGCAACCCCTCTGCATTCCCAGCCACAGCACAGTGACGAACATACAGGGGGAGGGAGCAGTCAGTATGTGCTGAAGATACCCCACAGATTGGACACTGCACTCAACACGTGGGCAGTGAAAGCTGACTGTCCCATGTTCAACAAACCCAGAAAACTAGATTTACACTAATCCAGTAGTTTACACTAATGCAAAAGTACTGCTGAATATATATATGCACACATATTAACATACGCCCATACACATATATAAGCAACATGTTAAAACAATGTAACTATGAAAGCACACGTCCTCAAATAAACATTCCCCTGCCTCTTTCCCCACTGGGCTCCTTCCCATGCTATGTCTCCTTGTCCACCTATAGGGCTCGGCCCAATCTCACCTTCTCAGAGAAGCCTTCTCTGACTTTCCTATCCAAGAAAGGCCCCTCCTGTTCCTCTTTACCTGTTTTCTCCACAACAGTTATCACAGTTTCTAACGCTTTGTTAATTATTTGTCGACTGTCAGCCTTGCTCCACTGAGCGTACATTCTGTAAGGAGGGTCTTTGCCTTGCTTGTTGCTTAGCCCTAGATCCTGGATCAGTGCCTGGCATTCAGTGTTTAATAAATATATGTTGAATGAATGAATGCATTATAAATACCAGTAAATGACTAATAAGAGAAAAAAATTTGGTTATGAAACAGGCCTTGTAACAGCTTTACTAGAATCTACATAACTATGAAAATTATAGACAGAGTGCTAAAAACATCTAGGATAAATTCCATATTGTTAGGCAGAGAGACTATAATTAAAAAAACAATGTAAATACATATTAGATGATATTACTAGTGGCAGCTAACATTTACTGAGGGCTTATGTACTGGACATTTTTCTAAGCACCTTATATGGATACATTTATTTAATTCCAAAACATCCCCATAAGGTAGGTGCTAGTATTAAAGACCTTTTTACAAAGGAGGAAACAAGGTATATAGAAGTTAGAAAACTTGCCCAGTTCATAGCATAGTCAGCAAATGGCTGGGCTGGGACATGACCTCAGGGAATCCAGCTCTGGACCTCTCGCTCCTAACGACTGCTCCATGCAGGGTATATGCTAACCATCATATTCCATGGGAAAGAACTACGTGGCTGTCTCTAAGACAGAATTATTTCATATTTCTACTGGCCATGTGTGAGAGCACCAGCTGCTCCACACACTCCCCAACATCCGCCATCTTTAATTTAGCTGGTCTAGTCAGTATGAAATGGTATTTTGTGGGTTTTTATTTATTTTATTGTGAAACAATCGCACAAAGTAAAGTCTGTAGTACAAAGAACCCTTTTTTCCTGAACCACTGGAGAGCAAGTTGCCAACCTGATCCCCTTTACCTTCGGATATTTTCTATTCCCTAAAAAGAAGAGCATTCCTGGACATGGCAAGAATATAACCATCAAAAGCAGGAAATTTATATTCCTACATTACTTTTAGCTTTTCCTCAGACTCCATTCTATTTTGACCAGTTATCTCAATAACATCCTTTATAACAATAAGATCCAGTTTAGAATCACACATTACATCTAATTGCTATTTTTCCTCAGTCTCCTTCATTTGGAACAATTGTCTAGTCTTCTAGAGCTTCATAGCCCGATGTACAGTAACGTGCCAGTTACTCTGTAAGAGGTCTCTCACATTGAGTTTGATATTTCCTTATTGTTGGATTCAGGTTATGCGTCTTTGGCAGAAATAACAAAAGCCACACTGCTTCCCTTTTTTGGTTGCATTCTAGCGGGTTGTGTGTGATTTCATTTTGCCCATTTGACGGAGGTGGTGGCTGCCAGGCTCTCCCATGGGAAAGTTATCTTTCCCCCTTCGTAATTAATAAGTATGGGGGAGGGCTTTGACACTACGTATCTATTTCAAACTTTCAAGTTATTCAATTATTTATTCCTATCCAAACTCATAATGTCCTATTTCAGTCAATAGATTATAATCTACTACTATCATTTATTTTTATGCTCAAGTTGTCTCCAATTTGGCCAGTAGAAGTCCCTTCAAATTGACTGCTGTGTCCTTTAGATATGTCCCCATAATTATCAGAGCCCTTCTTTACTTTGCGATATAACCAAATGTTCTAGGCTCATTTTACATGTTCCCTGCCGCAGCCTAAGAATCAGCCATTTCTCCAAAAGGCCTGGGTCTCTGAGGGTGAAATTGGTATCTAGGAGCCAAGATCTTGGTAGAAGTAAGCTTATTGCTACTGTGGTGTCACTGCTTCTAGGCCTTCTCAGTGGCCAGAGATTGTGAATGTGTGCATGTATTTTCATACATATACATACACACACTTACAACCATATTCATTGCTATGTTGATCTTAGCAATTGAAAACCATGAATTCACACCAGTATCTTTCATTCCAATGTGCGACCACAGGGTTCATTCTGGCTTTTCACCTTTTACTTCTATAGTGAGAAATCTGGCTTCTAATATCCTTCTGTATTTACTATTTGGTCAGTTCCCCTCTATGTAACCCACTCCCCGTCTCTACCGGGTCTCTTCCCTGATGCCGATCTGCCCCTCTCCTTGCCTGGGCTCTGCCTGCCCATGCTGCCACCTTGCTACCCCAGCTCGGGCTGGGCTCTGATGCTGTACTGCGAAAACGCTGCTCCCCACCACTGCAGACACCCTCCTTCCCACCCCCACTTCATGGCTGCAGAACTGAATTGTTAGGAAAGCAGAGGGCTTGGTAGACTTTTAAATAAGGGCTCCTTTAATGTCTGTCATCCTTTGTGTCCAGACTATGCTAATGTGCCAGTTTTCAATTTAAAATGACTAAAAGACTGCAGTGCGGCAGACTTAGACAAAGTTGAATGGGTTTTTTTTTAAGTGATAAAAAAAGACTATACACAGAATGTCTACTGAAATCCTCATAGAAATTACAAATTAACTAGTTGAAGACAATTAGAAAAAGAGCAATTTTTTGGAAGTCATCAAAAGATCCATTTATGCCCCTTGATTTATTTAAATTGATTTCTCTAACTGAAGGCTAAGCATTTCAGAACTGTAATCAACACAGTTTCTACCTGGCCAACATCTGTTTTCAGGTCCCTTATTTGAAAAACCTCAGGATTCTACTTAAAATTTAAAAAGAACAGGAGATAGAAAAAAGGAGAAGAGACAGACTTTTTAGTATTGAAACAAGAAAATATGGGGGAGGTCTTTGCAAACCTTAAATAAAGCCCTATGCAAATATTAGACAGAAGTGATATTTAAGATTTAAGCACAGCTCATACACAGGCATACCTTGTTTTATTGCGCTTGGCTTTATTGCCTTCCAGATATTGTGTCCTTTTTTTCCCGAAAAAACAGATCAAAGATTTGTGGCAACCCTCCATTGAACAAATCCATTGGTGCCATTTTTTCAACAGCATGTGCTCACTTTGTGTCTCTGTGTCACATTTTGGTAATTCTTGCAACATTTACAACTTTATTATTATATCTGTTATGGTGATCTGTGATCAGTGAGTGATCTTTGATGTTACTATTGTATTTGTTTTGGGGTACCATGAACCACAAACATATAACAAACTTAATCAAAAAATGTATGTGTTCTGACTGCTCCCCTGACTAGCTGTTATGCTCCTCCTCAGGCTGCCTTAGTCCCTGAGACATAACAGTATTAAAATTAGGCCAATTGGAGGAGCCAAGATGGCAGACGAGAAAAGACGCCAGAGTGTCTCTGCAAAAAAGACAAATTTTAGAAGAAAGAGAAAAAAATAAACTAGCAGAGAAACATAGATCAGGTGAGGGTCGGAAGGAAGGGTGCCTGAAACTACAGGAGACTCCACGGGAAGATGTCGTGGAGGAGAACTGGAAGGAGAAAGGTCCTGAGAGGCTTGGAGACCAGCGACAAGGGTAGGTGGAGCAGATAACTTCCCCCTCTCTTGCATCTCGGACTGCTGGTGGACTCCTGAGCGGTTGGAGAGAACTGCCGACACCAGCCCAGGGACGGCCGCCGCCAGTGAGCAGTGGCCTCTTGCGGACTCAGCGCCAGGCTCCCAGCCCCCTCGGGGCACCTCCCCGCGTGCAGACCCGAGCCTATCGGCAGACGCCATAATGCTCCATTCTCTCGTTCCCCCTCCCTACCCGTGCGTGCCCAGAGAGACAATTTAGCCATCACACGGAGGCATCTCCAAGAAACGGGACCTTTCCTTTTGGGGCCCTACAGCAGACTGAGGGGTACTCAGACTGTGAGCTCCCTACCTGCCAGCCCTCCCAGGTGCTACTTGCCTGGGGACTCCAGGAGAGCGGGGCAAATCCCGAGGTGGAGTGAAATCAATCCAGCTTGGGCACCCTGTAGGTGATTCAAGACCAGCACCCCTCCCCTGGCAGGATCAGGGATTGATCTCCAGGACCCAGGAGACAGGTCGGCAGACCAGACCGCGTACACCCAGGTCACGATCGCACTGCCCCGGGGCACAGAAGAGAGATCTGTGAAAGAACCTACTGAGGAGTGTGTGCCTTCAGGGGCAGATCAGCGTGCCTGAGCGGCAACCCTCTTCCCAAGAGGGCTGTGCACCCAGCTGAGACTGCGATCCTGGGTAGGGAATCTCCCAGCCCACATCACAGCCAGGGGAGATCCACCAGCCTGAGGTCCCCCTTGCTGGCAGAGGCCTGGGAGAGGCCACGGAGAGGGAGAGGGTGGAGAGGAGCGAGACCTGCTCCAGAGTGCAGGTCTCAGACAGCCCCACACCCCAAACCCAGACTTTCATCTGAGCGGAGCCATTTCAGCCCTTCCCGGAAGCTTTG